CTGCTCGGTGGTACAGCAGGTGAAGGGTTAGTGTTCCCCGCCCTCCCTCGGGACCAGGCTGGGTGGGGGTCGGGGGAGGGCCCCGGGTGGGTACGGGGGATTAGCATTTGAAGGGAGGGAGGGAGGGAGGGCTGGAGGGAGGTTGGGGACGGGGTGGATACGGGGGGAAGAGGGCTGGAGGGAGGGAGGGAGCTTGGTAGGTAAAGGTTGGGGGGGGGCCTGCTGGGTAATGGCAGCAGGTAATGAGTGTCTATGTTCTTTGATTGGGAAAGGGGGGGGGGGTGATCTGTGCTCCAACACAGCCAAGATTGAGATGGAATGAGATGAGAGTGTGGATGTCAAGTTTTAACTGAAATAAAAAATAATGGCAAGTGTACTCTGAGTAGCAGGCATATTTGTATTTGTGTAATGTGTGATCATGCTAGTAGAGAGAGAGAGAAAGAGAGGAGAGAGAGAGAGAGAGAGAAGAGAGAGAGAGAGAGAGAGAGAGAGAGAGAGAGAGAGAGAGAGAGAGAGAGAGAGAGAGAGAGAGAGAGAGAGAGAGAGAGAAGAGACAGAGACGAGAGGGAGAGAGAAGACGAGAGAGAGAGAGAGAGAGAGAGAGAGAGAGAGAGAGAGAGAGAGAGAGAGAGAAGAGAGAGAGAGAGAGAGAGAAGAGAGAGAGGGAAGGAGGGAGAGGGAGAAAGAGAAAGAGAGAGAGAGAGAGAGAGAGGAGAGAGAGAGGAGAGAGGAGAGGAGAGAGGAGAGAGAGAGAGAGAGAGAAGAGAGAAGAGAGAGAGAGAGAGAGAGAGAGAGAGAGAGAGAGAGAGAGAGAGAGAGAGAGAGAGAGAGAGAGAGAGAGAGAGAGGAGAGAGAGAGAGCAGAGGAAGAGAGAGAGGAGAGAGAGAGAGAGAGAGAGAGAGAGAGAGAGAGAGAGAGAGAGAGAGAAGAGAGAGAGAGAGAGAGGAGAGAGAGAGAGAGAGAGAGAGAGAGAGAGAGAGAGAGAGAGAGAGAGAGAGAGAGAGAGAGAGAGAGAGAGAGGATCTAAAGGAGTTATATCTCAATTACGAAGAGTAACAACCAGCGCGAACAGAGGTAGAAGATGAAGAGAGACGTATCGGCAATTTGTTGATGAATAATAATGACTCGAAACGCCTGTAGTAGTCGTAATGTAATGAGATAAGAGCTTAGCTGTGTGGGTGTCTAGATGGCTGTGCGGATTATGTAGATGTGAATGCCACCTCCTTTGCTTCTTACACAACATAGCCGCTACACCCTGTATCTTAACATCGACCACAGATGCACAGCAACGATATGTAAAGCTCAGCAGGAAGAAAGGGGGCCTATAAGTCAAGCCTGCAGTGTGAGTGTACTGTGTGTAGACATCGTAGTGGACATCATGTAAACACGTTTCCCTTACGGAGAGTCACCAGCAGAAGGCCTTTTACACAACATCGGGGTCAGGGTCAAGGTCAGGGCACACTGTAAAGGTAAACACAAGGGCCGAGACTGGGTTGTTTACGAGGGTGTTTTTTTCAGGGGTTAAACACGAATCACTGGTGTGACATAGAGGCCAAAGGTTGCACGCAGAGGTTAAGAGCAAACCATTAAGGAATTTATAGAATGGGCTGAGAATGAATGGGTCTTTCTTTTTTTTTTAAAGGTCGGTAGTGAAGTGCTGGCACGATGATTGATGTGGAATCAATCAGTAATGTTATTTTTGTTCTTCGCACTGAACAGAAAGAACATCGGATCTTTCTGGATGGAGGTGAAGTTGACTTGATATGCCCTTTTCGCCAGCTGCCTTAGAGAACAGACATATATTCATGTTTCTTCAGAGACCAATATAAACGTCGGAGAACACGTGATTTAGGTTTTAGGGAGAAGGATGCCCAAGTTATCGATGGTCATAGTGTCATGGTGTTGGCATAATGTGAAGACATATTGACATGAGCAACATGATTGGTGTGAGCGGGAGAATGAGTGTGGGTGAGTTTCGTCCTGTAGGAGCTGAAGGTTCTGGATCGAGTGGCTGTTGGGCGAAGACTCCGGGGCTGTGCGTCAGTGGAAGAGGGGGAAGGGCGCCGGGGAGAGCAGAGGGGTTGGAATTTTAGGGCGTTCCTGACTCCGGAAGCACCAGCATGCACTTGAAGCTCACTGGAGAGGAGAGGGGAGGGAGGGGGGGATAGCAGCGGAGGTTCTTAATTACTCATGAAGTTGAGGCGGTGAAACACTCATCGCGGCATTTTAAGAACGAAGTCATATCACATCCCGAAGCAGAAAAAAGAACTTGCAAGTACTTCCTTTTCCATTTTTTTCCTGGTAATAAAGATTATGATATATGTCATGCCTCTTCGTCTCCGCTTGAGAAAGAATAGGGAAAAGAGAAGTAGGAATTCATTCTAATTAATTAAGGTGATGCAGTTTAAGATAATAAAATTGATAAAAAATAGTTGCTTCATTAGTGGCATCTAAAGATTAGTGACGAAGTCATGACCTGGCAAAGTTCAAATGCAGTAGGGATATTTATCTTGGATCTTAAGAAAGTGTCGACCGGCTCCCTGGCCAGCCGGTGCTAAGGAGCCGGCGAATTGTCAACAATGCTGTGCAGTCTATTATCTTGGGGATTTTACAAATTTAAAAAGATGAGATTATTAGAAAAATATTTTTTGATAACGGAAAACCCTACTGTCACTTACCATGGGACTGCAAAGCCTATCTTGCCCTGTGCAAGGGGCTCTCAACCACCCGAAGGGGTTTCTAAAGACCTCTCTTTGTGGGACGAACCTCCCGAGGGAGCGGTCTCTCCCGAAGGGCCTGGGACAACTGGCTCTGAGGCGCCTCCAGAGAACTCCCTCGGGAGGTTCTTAAACCTTACACACTTAATCATAGACCTATAATCACACTCTTCTTCCTCTCTGACATATGATAAAAACAGAAACAAAAGATATGTTCACAGAGGAATGTTTAACCGTGACTTTCTTATGTTTTTGTCTTGAAATGTATATCCTAAACAAAAAGCGACGCTGCCGAAAAGAGGATCAGTCACCACCTTGACAATTAAGTTTGACACATGGGAAAGCGGTGCGATTTTGCCCCTAATGCAACTATCATTTTGCTGTTTCGTCAGGTTCCATACGAATAGGACATATAAAAGCTTGAGATTAAGTTGTGTGTATGTCTTGAGTTTAAATAAGATCAATTAATATCTTAAAGGTGATTTATCCAGAAAATATAGCAGCTGAAATTTTGCCGTCAAAACGAATTTAGCGTTGAATAAACCCTTCCTCTTTTGCTTATTCCCTTTTTTTTTGCCTCAGATGGAGGTATAGTCGCACCTGAGGCAGCTTAGATACAGCTTTGATATGAACCCTATATGCAAATGACGGGCAGGTGTGATTGAGCCCTCCCCCCGGCAGGTGCATGGTACAGACGTGGTGGCACTGAGACGTGGTAGTAGCGAGCCCCGGTACCGTGTGAGCGAGGACTCACCCAGGTGCGTGTTTCCCAGCAGCTGGATGGTGCTGAAGGATGTCTTCTTCTGGCGCGGGGAAGAGCCCACCGAGCCAGGGTCACGCCCCCCGTCTGGAAGGGCGCCACGAAGCCATTGTGACCTTCACACCTTCATAGTCTTGTTTTACCAGAGGCACTTCACAACACCATCACCAATCATCACTATACTGACTACCATCACCACTATACTGGCTACCTGCTACCATCACCACCAACACAGCACTACGACCACTACCATCATGCCTACTCTCCCGCGTCCCGGCTCTCTGCTGCCCCTTTACCCCTCGTGCTGCTGGCGAGTCCCCTTGCTAGGTTCAGCTCTTCCGCTAGCTCTCACTTTCTCGCATATTTTTTTTTATCCCGGCTCTATCCGTGTCTGTGTCTCGCTATCTCTCTAGTTCTTTGTCCATCTCTCATTCTGTCTCTAGACTCTGTCTCAGTCTCTCTCTCTCTCTCTCTTTCTCTACCCATCTATCTATTTCTATCAATCTACAATAACTATTTATTCATCTACCGTCTCTATTCTTCTTTGTTACCCTATAGGTATACTTATTTCGTCCTCCCGATTCATTTTCTATCGCGATGTTCAAATTACATGCTGATCTATTGTTACGTCTATTGCTACGATACATAGCCTTTCACCAAGATTTGTCTAAATCCCATTTTGTTCTATTAATAAACACGGTGCAAAAATCTATAGATTGCACAGTAGACGCCCTTCACTACTAATTCAACACCATGAACTGTTTTTTTTCTGTCTTCTGCCTAAGGTGTTCCTTTATTCACAAATCGCTTATACATTCGACTGACAGTATTCAAACTCTCCAGCAACAGCTTTCATGCTCACACAATTTACAATTAAGATTTCATACGCAAGCCTGTTGAGAAAGAGCCTGCTAATACCTAGAAAATCCATATACTTCTGTACATTCTACAATATATTTTTCTTTTTCTTGAGGTTGCATCGGACCACTAAAATGAATTTCATAACTTTATACCATTCATATATGGTGTATTCTCTTTGACATTAATCAGGTCTTAAGGAATTCTTCTATGATACAAACTGAGGGCTGCAGAATACTATAGTAATGAAATTACAACAAACAATTCATTTTATTCACTACTTGTAACTATAATTTGATCTTGCCAGAAATCTGCGCACAGGGAAAGAAACTGGAAATGCACTGCTATTGGTGGTTTGAGATGGTAGTGGCATTTTTAAAAACATTTTCCTAACTCACATAACAATAACAATGGCGCTGTGAATGGAGTTTTAAGAACAAGGTACACATGAAATAACGGCGAAACAACTCACGGTTCTTTTAATTCATTTTCTGTCTACGAATGTGTCTCAATATGAAGGGCTTCTTATCTTCAGATAGAAGTGGGAGTAGTAAATCCATTGAAAACTGGTTAACAGACTGTCACTACTGACAAGGGTTATGAAAACGATCGCTATTTCAACGATTTTTTTTTACTAGAGCAGTATTTGTCCGATATCGTTAAGC